AGTCTTGTTAAGCCTTCCTCAGTGGCATGGCTTCTCCAAGCAAAAGCCTGTGTCTACGCCTGGTATTCTCCCGTCTCTCTGCTGTGCCCTTGCCCCTCCAGCAAGTCCCCAACCCCGAAAAAAGGTGACCTGAAGCTGGCTGGCAGGCAGGGACGGTGTTGTTAGACTGTGCAGAGCAAGACTTTCTGTTAGAACAGCTGCAGGGAGAGCCTTTAGGGGGAGCCTTTAGGGACTGCTTGGCCCAGGCCTTACTTTGGACCCATTCAGCCTCGAGGCTGCTCCAAGTCCGCTCTGCCCTGGTAATGAAGTGGCCGCCAGTGTTGGTGGCTTGGCATGGGGAAGAAAGGGAGTGGACTTGGAGACCCCCATCGTGCCCTGTGCCCTCTGCTGTGGGTCCTGCCTCTGTTCGCAGAGTCGGTCTTTCCAAACTGCCGTGTCCACTTGGAAACCTGTGGAAACCCTGTAGGGTAATCCCAGGCGAGAACGATTTTAACATTTTTCTTCATAGAGGAAATGATTATGCCGAAACAAAAGGCTTTCCTAAAAGCAAAACACAGGGTAAATTGGGTTAATTACGAATTCTGCTGCAAAGTGAAATAGAGAAAAGGTTGTAGTGAGTAAAGTTTAAAAATGAGTCATTGTTTTTATGCCTTTTTTTTTTTTTTTTGGTCTTTTTTTTTGCTTGCACTCTAACTCTATTGAGTGCTTACATCTCCCGGTTTGACCGAGTTAATTAATTAGTAATCTTAAGGAGTACTGCTTTGTGACAACATGGGCCAGAAGGCTTTTGGGAAGTGTCATGAGTTCGGTTCTAGAGGGTTCACAGGTAAATTAGAACATATTAGAGAACTAGCCGCAGTTTGTTTTAATCACTCCGATTTAGACTCAGTAAACAGATCCTCACCCCTTGTTATACATTTTTTGCTTTTAATATGTGAGGAGGACTTTAAACTGTTCATGGAGAAATAGAAATAGAATTCGGTGCAAAAGCAACGTTTGAAAGCCATGCATAGTTTCTTTATAATACACCTGCATTTTCCAAGAACTTTTTGAAGACCCCTCCCCATAGAGTCGGGGTATTTGCTTATCAACTGTTTCCCATTTAAAAAATATCCCCGTTGCTCAATTCATAGATGACCACAATAGTTGAAAGTATTTCTTTTGCAGTGGGAAACTTGAAATTAGTCGCTTGCTAAGAAAAGCTAAGACCCTTTCAGATCCTGCCTGATAGCTATGGCCCTGCTATCAGGATTGATCAAAATTGTTGCTCTTAATCCTTGCAGCTAAAAAGACTTCATTTAGCAGGAAGCAATTCTGGGGAAAGGCTTTATTTGTGAAATCAGATGGTGGGCAATAGCGTGTGTTCATTCTCTGTTATTAGACAGGAAAGAGAGTGAGAAACTTGGAAGAATCCCCTTCTGGTTGTAATGACTTGTATTCACCTCAGCTATTTGTTTCACAGGGAGCCCAGGCAAGGAGTGTTGTATTTCAAGGTAGGGGAATTAAAGCTTAGGGTGGTCTTTTTCTAGACTGATGCCTGCCAGTCTTACTGGATAGACTTTGGCTGCAAACTCATTAGAACTCAACCTCATACCTAGACCTTGTGTAGACGGGCACTTAACTCTTTGAACCTCAACTCTTTGAGGTTCTCACTGTAGATCCCCTCAGACAGCTCTCCTCTGTGAACAACGTTTTTTTGCAGGTCCCTTCCAATGTAAATAAGAGGAAGCAACCCCTTTCAACCTGTTGATGTCACTTTAGAATGAAAAAGAACCTCCAGGGTGGAAATGGATCTGACCTGGCCTACACAATGAGATGTGTAAATAATCAAATATGTAGACACATGCCCCGGCACGAGGTGCCAGCTGAGACCAGGAGCGTTTGCTTGTGGCCCCTGCATTCATGTTTTTGGGCAGGAGCCACTTACCCCTTTGAACCTCAGCTTTCCGAACAAAAAGGCCTGCGGGAAAGGGACTTTGAATGATCTGAGATCTCCGCTTTTCAGCGTTTAAGGAGACGCCACATTGCGGGCTAAGCTTTCCTTAGACCAGCTCGCTTCATCCTCACAGTCACCTGCGTGGAAGGTGCCTAGACCCATTTTGCAGATGAGGGAACGAAGGGCCAGAGAAGTCACTCGCTTCACCAGTGATACGTGGGATTCTGACCCCAAGGGCCTCGCTTACACTGGGATCGGACACCACAGGGTGAACAGGGGAGGCCCTGCTGCTGGCTCCCTGCCTGGTCTTTCATGTGCTCTCAAGGCCCCGTCTAGGGCTGACAACTTGGCCCGCTCTGGTGGAAGACTGGGCACCAAGCAGAGTCTTTTACTGGTCTCCAAGTCACCCCCCAAAATGGCAACAACACAGATTTAATGTTGAGGAGAAACTGAGAGATGGAGGAAGGGGACAGGGAAGCAAAGATGACGAGAGCCATTTCAGGGTGTGACAACACCTCAGAGTCAGAGTGTCTGAAGATGCAGGGGTGAGTCCACCACTCTCCCAGCTCAGGGGAGGGACTCCAGACTTCAGGACCCCCTCCTGTCACCGCAGCAGGGCAGCCCAGCAGGTCCATGGCAAAGAGTCTTGTTAAGCCTTCCTCAGTGGCATGGCTTCTCCAAGCAAAAGCCTGTGTCTACGCCTGGTATTCTCCCGTCTCTCTGCTGTGCCCTTGCCCCTCCAGCAAGTCCCCAACCCCGAAAAAAGGTGACCTGAAGCTGGCTGGCAGGCAGGGACGGTGTTGTTAGACTGTGCAGAGCAAGACTTTCTGTTAGAACAGCTGCAGGGAGAGCCTTTAGGGGGAGCCTTTAGGGACTGCTTGGCCCAGGCCTTACTTTGGACCCATTCAGCCTCGAGGCTGCTCCAAGTCCGCTCTGCCCTGGTAATGAAGTGGCCGCCAGTGTTGGTGGCTTGGCATGGGGAAGAAAGGGAGTGGACTTGGAGACCCCCATCGTGCCCTGTGCCCTCTGCTGTGGGTCCTGCCTCTGTTCGCAGAGTCGGTCTTTCCAAACTGCCGTGTCCACTTGGAAACCTGTGGAAACCCTGTAGGGTAATCCCAGGCGAAAATGATTTTAACATTTTTCTTCATAGAGGAAATGATTATGCCGAAACAAAAGGCTTTCCTAAAAGCAAAACACAGGGTAAATTGGGTTAATTACGAATTCTGCTGCAAAGTGAAATAGAGAAAAGGTTGTAGTGAGTAAAGTTTAAAAATGAGTCATTGTTTTTATGCCTTTTTTTTTTTTTGGTCTTTTTTTTTGCTTGCACTCTAACTCTATTGAGTGCTTACATCTCCCGGTTTGACCGAGTTAATTAATTAGTAATCTTAAGGAGTACTGCTTTGTGACAACATGGGCCAGAAGGCTTTTGGGAAGTGTCATGAGTTCGGTTCTAGAGGGTTCACAGGTAAATTAGAACATATTAGAGAACTAGCCGCAGTTTGTTTTAATCACTCCGATTTAGACTCAGTAAACAGATCCTCACCCCTTGTTATACATTTTTTGCTTTTAATATGTGAGGAGGACTTTAAACTGTTCATGGAGAAATAGAAATAGAATTCGGTGCAAAAGCAACGTTTGAAAGCCATGCATAGTTTCTTTATAATACACCTGCATTTTCCAAGAACTTTTTGAAGACCCCTCCCCATAGAGTCGGGGTATTTGCTTATCAACTGTTTCCCATTTAAAAAATATCCCCGTTGCTCAATTCATAGATGACCACAATAGTTGAAAGTATTTCTTTTGCAGTGGGAAACTTGAAATTAGTCGCTTGCTAAGAAAAGCTAAGACCCTTTCAGATCCTGCCTGATAGCTATGGCCCTGCTATCAGGATTGATCAAAATTGTTGCTCTTAATCCTTGCAGCTAAAAAGACTTCATTTAGCAGGAAGCAATTCTGGGGAAAGGCTTTATTTGTGAAATCAGATGGTGGGCAATAGCGTGTGTTCATTCTCTGTTATTAGACAGGAAAGAGAGTGAGAAACTTGGAAGAATCCCCTTCTGGTTGTAATGACTTGTATTCACCTCAGCTATTTGTTTCACAGGGAGCCCAGGCAAGGAGTGTTGTATTTCAAGGTAGGGGAATTAAAGCTTAGGGTGGTCTTTTTCTAGACTGATGCCTGCCAGTCTTACTGGATAGACTTTGGCTGCAAACTCATTAGAACTCAACCTCATACCTAGACCTTGTGTAGACGGGCACTTAACTCTTTGAACCTCAACTCTTTGAGGTTCTCACTGTAGATCCCCTCAGGCAGCTCTCCTCTGTGAACAACGTTTTTCTGCAGGTCCCTTCCAATGTAAATAAGAGGAAGCAGCCCCCTTTCACCTGTTGATGTCACTTTAGAATGAAAAAGAACCTCCAGGGGGGAAATGGATCTGACCTGGCCTACACAATGAGATGTGTAAATAATCAAATATGTAGACACATTCTTTTACAGTCTCCTCGTATTGCACAGCAGTTCTGTGAGATAAGTGATGCAGATATTAGGTACGAAGGCCCTATTCCACAGACGAGGATGCTGAGGCTGGGAGCTGGCATGTAGACCTGCTCAGGGCTGTCGGAGACCCTAGACGAATCAGAGCCACGTTTTCTGACTGTGGTTCTCATGGCTATGATTTGAACTCATGTTCAGGGAAAACAATATCTTACCTGTAGTTGGTGCTTAGGAAAGATTTCTTGTGCTATGCTTCCTAGTGGGAAGGCAGTTTTTCTTTTAATTTGCTAAGTGTGTGTGGTTTTGGCCAGAGAGAGAGAAAGAGACAGAGAGAAAGGCAAAGAGAGAGATGATGAGAAAGCACCCTTTAAAGTGGATGGCTATGCCTTCATCTCTTTTACTCCATTCTGCTGTCAGGATTTGGGGCACATATGCACACACACCCAGTGTTTTTTTCAAGCTACTGGGTCTGGGTCTTGAACCGTGCTGTTGACTATGTGGGATCCAGCGCCTTAATCGCCATGGCACCAGTCAGCCCCCCGGTTTTAATCTCATTCTTTTGCCTTCTTCTAGGTGCATTCCTGATTCCCTATGTGGTATTTTTTATTTGCTGTGGAATTCCTGTTTTTTTCCTGGAAACGGCTCTGGGGCAATTCACAAGTGAAGGTGGCATCACCTGTTGGAGGAAAGTCTGTCCTTTGTTTGAAGGTAAGTGCTGAGTTGACGAGAGAGCGAAGTTTGGCCCAGACAGCGTCGGGCTGGGAAGAGTGGCTGAAGCCTGGAAAAGGCGGAGACTCAGATGGCTTCTTTCTCATCCTCCCAGGCATCGGCTATGCCACGCAGGTGATCGAGGCCCATCTAAACGTCTACTACATCATCATCCTGGCCTGGGCCATTTTCTACCTGAGCAACTGCTTCACCACCGAGCTCCCCTGGGCCACCTGTGGGCATGAGTGGAACACAGGTATGGCTGCCAGGGAGGCGCTCTCTGTTGGCCCTGTTGGGGGACCTGGGATTGGGAGTTGTGTCCTTGTGCGGAGACGGTTCTGGGCTCTGGGCTGTCACCACCAATCTGGCGTCCTGGGACAGCCTCATTGAAACTGGGGTTCCCTTCTGCACCTGGTCTGTGAGTTGCAGTCCTCAAGCCTGAGCTTAGCTCTGATCCGGGAACTGGTGTGGATAGGAAACACCAGATGCTCTTTCCTCTCTTTGCAAAATGTTGAGACTGGGGCCTTGGGTGTGAGAAAGAAACACGAAACTGAGATTCAGGGGACAAGGGTTCTGATCTTCGCCCCGCCTCTCCAAGTCTCAGGTGTTTCTCTATGAAATGAACATGTTAGACTAGATCAGGGGTTATGCACAGGGAGCCTACAGGCTGGTCAGTGTTTAGACCAAGGAACGGCAACTTTTAAACATGTATATTTGGGGACCAGCAGGGGGTGTGGTGGTTAAGGTGCTGGACTCCCACATAGCTGACCTCAGTTCAAACCCCAGAACTGACGGCTTGCTTTCTCACTTTCCCTCTGCCTCTCTCTGGTGAGCACATGTGTCCTATAACAAATTTAAATAATAATAATAAATAAAATTTTAAAAAATGTATTTTACAAAACTTGCTAAAGGGTATGTGTACTCACTGGAATTGAGACAGAGAGAGAAAGAGAGAGAGAGAGAGACAGAAAATGGGAAAGCACCCCCCCCCCATGAAGGATGGTCACATTGCAGTCTCTTCTCCTCCCCTTCTCCTTTCAGGGTTCTGGGCATACACACAGGTGTGACCAGGGTGTTTTTCAGTCTACCAGGTCTGGGACTCAAACTGTGCAGTCAGCCATGTGGGATCCAGCCTCCTTAACAACCATACCTAAAATTGTATTTAAAAATTGTTTGGTTGCCCCAATTGACAAGTCAGAAGACTTTGTATGAAAATCCAGATTCCTCACTTCTTCACGAAATTAAAATATCTGACAACACCAGTCCCGTGCTCCTTTTTGGTGCAATGGTTGTAGCTAAGAAGTGGCCGCTGCCTTGGGGTGACGCCTCTGTCCTTGCGTCTGCACCCAGCTTACTTTGATCATTTATTTTACCTGTGCAATCTAGCTGCACATTTGAATTTAGCGTCATCACCTTTTCGGAACAGATAGGTTTTTAGATTACTTCTGATTGCGATATACCTTTTGCTTTTTAATCTGTCACTCTACCAGAATTGAATTTTGAAATCCAGGGAAGGCCTATATCTGTCCAGTTCCTCTCTGCAATGGCTGTGCAGGTAACAGACATCACTAATCAATTGTAGCACTCTTTCATTTTGAGCCCGGTCAGCCTCCGAACTTTTCTCAGCAGTGCTTCAGGTAGTCGCTGCCTTTAAACTGCGATTGGCAAATACACTTTAACCCATTGACCCTCTGTATTATGACCCATGGGTAGGCTGTGTCTGGAAGTGGCCTGTCATCCTGAGGGCTGAGATGCAGTAAGACTGGGTAGGATGTTGATCACCAGCAGAAGGAATAGCTGGCCATTGACTGAGGTGTGCTGCCTTTTGCATCCAGCCCTGACTCGGGGCTAGTGACTCCATCTCATTTTGTCTCTCTTCTCACTGTCTCTCTTTAGGTTTTTTTTTTCCCCTAGATTTAAATATTTGTGAAGAGTTATTTAATTTTATTTATCATTATTATTATTTGTATTTTAAAATTTATTTATTTCTTTATTTTTGGAGAGGTTGTTGCTATACGGTGTGTGCACTCACCAGAAAGACAGACAGAGACAGAGAGAGAGAAAGCAAGAAATCACCCCCCAGGGGAGATGGCCACGCCGCAATCCCTTCTCCTCTATTCTCCTCTCGGGATCTTGGGCACGCATGTACACGCGCCTGGCATGAGTTTAAGCTACCGGGACCAGGACTCAAACTGCAGTCAACTTACATGGGAGTCCAGTGACATAGCCATTATACCAACTGCTGGTCCCTTTTATTATTATTTTTAAAAATTTGCTACAAAGCATTGCATGTTCACCAGAGAGAAAGAGAAAGTGAAAAGCAAGCTGCCAGGTCCAGCACTTGAGCCCTGTGAGTGTCCAGCGCCTTAACCACCATGCCACCTGCTGGCCCTCCCTTTAGGTTCCTAACCTTTTTTTGGGGGCAGGGGCCTCATAGAGATGGATTTCAAACTAAAATTTAAGGACATATTCTTGGAGGCTTGTGAGTCCTCAATGGTAATTTAATTGTGTGTGTTTATTTTGAGGAGCCTCTAAAACAGGCATGTCCTGGATTGTCTGCATGATCCGGGGATAACTGAGGACAGTCAGGAAATTCCAGTGCCGGACTTTGTCCATGCTTACAGTTTAAGATGCATTGTGGCGAGGAGGACAAGGGTGGTCGAG